CTTCATCACATCTATCTTCTTTATGTTCACTTGAAGTCCTGCTTTTGCTGCTTCTTCTGCCAACTTGTCGTTTTTCGCTTGTAGATCTTCGAATTTATGTGAGATTGGACAGAAATCGTCCGCGAAGTTCAAATCCTCTATAGTCTTCTTATTGATGCTTCAGCGTATTCCTGTATCCTCCCTTCCCACGTACAGTGCTCTGCATAATCCAGTCCACCAAAATCAGAAGTACCATCCTTATCTCACAGCTGTCTTCACTTCAAAAGCAGGCTTCACTGAGTTTCCAGTTGTGGGTCACGACATACGGAAATATCATATGGCTTTTTAGTTAAGTTTTTTTTATTTACAGCTTGATTTCACACTGTATTTTCGTGGAAGTATGGAATTTTCAGCATGGATATCGGTAGCCCAAATTTTGCAGGCTGGCCATAGATATTCGGTGTGCGTCGGCAGGGGACCGAACATCGGACCATGTGCATGGTCGGCGAGAGTCCTAACCATTGTGCCATCGACGCAGTAATACACTCCATAGTATTATTTAAATAGTTTTCAACGCTGTAGCAGGCCTTTACAGAGTTAATGAAGTCGAGGTAAATATTTGACTTCTATCCCGCTTAATGTTCAACGATGCTGCATAAGCTTACAGTTCCATCCACACGTGTATAATATTACTTTTGAACAAGGCATTAAGAAGACAAATTTCGCGAGATGATATCGTCATTTCGTAGTTTCTTTACAACCGCTTTACAACTAACATGGTTAACAATGATAAAATAAAGTTCATGAAAATTACTCAGTTAAATAAAAACAAAAGTACATACTAATGACCAATCATATTAAGATAGGTCATGCAGTCCAGGGTAGGCGAAGATTGAAGTCTATTGATTTTTGTACACACAGTTTAGGCTGTATGTGATTAATCCAAAGTGCTTCCATCACCTTCAATAACCTTGAATTAGAGTTATGTGAAATAATTGTGAAACAGTCATTAATATTTATTTTGTGACCAGACATTAATAAGTGTTTTGCAATGGATGATGCTGGATTTCTATTAAGATTAATCGCGTTAGGATTTTCGATATGATTTACTAGCCATTTTGGAATATGTTCTTTTCGACGACATTGGAACATTCTGTTAGTTCTACCTATATAGGTGTCACCGCAGCTGCAGGTGAACTTGTAGATACAGTTTGAAGTAGAGTCCACAGAATTTCGTCCTTTAATCGTAGGAACAGGGATCGAAAATGTTCGGCAAGTGAGAAAAAGAGATGCGGCGTAGAATGTGCGTTTGATGGCTGATCGAAGTCTTTGAGTTGTCAACTGCATAATCTGGTCGCCCTTGAATGGTAGATTAATAAAGATGGCTTTCTTTGGTACAGAAGCTGTCTTTTCGAGATGTGGTTTTTCTTTGCTGTGACAAGTGATAAAGCTCTCCGGATAACCATTAGCTAATAAAACTGAATGTACATGTCGAAGCTCATCCATCAGTGTGTCACTCGTGCATATTTTTCGGGCCCTTGAGAACAAACATTTCACTAGGGAACGTTTATACTGGATAGGAACAAAACTGGTAAAATGAAGATATTGTCCAGTCCATGTTTGTTTACGAAAAATAGAGCGCTGAATCGTTCCATCATTTCTCCTAGTCATAGTAATATCCAGGAAACCGAGTTTGTTATTCGATTCTAGTTCGGAAGTCACTCGAATATTTGGATGAATATGATTAAATAGAGTAATGAAGTTTTCAATAGATTTACTATTATTACCAATAATAAGAGTATCATCAACATAACGTTTATACAGCATAAATCCTCCAAGCATACCTTGCATTTGTTTCTCTAATTTCGACATAAATATATCTGCTAACAGGGGCCCCAGAGGGCTCCCCATCGCAACACCATCGATTTGTTTATATGCCTTTTCTTGGAATGTGAATCTAATATTTTCTGTACACATTAAGATTATGTCTTTGATGTAAGTGACGGGAATGGGTAAGTTTATGCTGTTGCTTGCGGAACATTTTCGATCCCTGTTCCTACGATTAAAAGACGAAATTCTGTGGACTCTACTTCAAACTGTATCTACAAGTTCACCTGCAGCTGCGGTGACACCTATATAGGTAGAACTAACAGAATGTTCCAATGTCGTCGAAAAGAACATATTCCAAAATGGCTACTAAATCATATCGAAAATCCTAACGCGATTAATCTTAATAGAGATCCACCATCACCCATTGCAAAACACTTATTAATGTATGGTCACAAAATAAATATTAATGACTGTTTCACAATTATTTCACATAACTCTAATTCAAGGTCAGTTATTGAAGGTGATGGAAGCACTTTGGATTAATCACATACAGCCTAAACTGTGTGTATAAAAATCAATAGACTTCAATCTTCGACTACCCTGGACTACATGACCTATCTAAATATGATTGGTCATTAGTATGTACTTTTGTTTTTATTTAACTGAGTAATTTTCATGAACTTTATTTTATCATTGTTAACCATGTTAGTTGTAAGGCGGTTGTAAAGAAACTATGAAATGACGATATCATCTCGCGAAATTTCTCTTCTTAATGCCTTATTCAAATTTATCAAAGGGACTAATTGCTTTAATAATATTACTTGTGAGTAATCAGTACATTTCTATGAAGTACAGACTAATAGTTATAGTGTCGAGGTACATGTTACATGATGTGCTTTAACTTTCAAAGGTATTAATTCACGTGAATGTCAAATATTTTGTGAAACTAGTCAAAAAACTCAAATTTACTAAAATAATTGGAATCAAAGAAGATTCATTTGACAACATGAATCACTTTTACAGACAAACATATGACGTCTACACAACTACAGAGTTAGTTAAACTAACTGTCAGTGCTAAATCGATAACCAGTTATAATCATGCTCTTGGATTAGTTATAAAATCTCTCAATTAGAAATAGCTTTGAATTGTAAACCTCTTCTAATCTGACACTCCTAATTAGGTAGTGTGAATCATGAAACTAAATGGATGCTGAGTTCCCATTGGTCGTAGAACCATCGTGATAAAATTCTTCGAGTGTCACCAATTACGTGTTTAAAAGTTACTGAATGTAACGGAGTGCTACTAGACGGGTTTTTAGATGTCTGACTAATTCAGATACCTTTAAAGGTAAATCACTATGAAATAAGTTTTACGCAACAAATCCACTCATCCTTTACAAGAATATGCAGTTGTCAGTCCATCTACCTTGACTGTGGACAAAGAATACTTTACACACGAATGGGAAAATACATTCGAGAGTGGTTTTACAAGAGGAAAAGCAAAGATATGAGAAGCTCTGTCTTAGAAATCCTGATTAACTTCTGTCAATCAGCCAAGCCTGACCATGATTTCAAGATCATCTATTGAATTCGTGCTAACTTACCATCCTATCTTCTTTACAAATTTCTTAAGATAGTGAAGGCCTTCACTATTCCTGAATTCAAACCACACGTTTCTGTACAAAAGCTCTATGTACAGTCCACATTTATACCTTAGTCGTAGAGGAATAAACAGTAATTCATGTTTCACCTTGTTGATTTTAATTTGTACACCTTTACCTTATTATTATTATTGTTATTATCGTTATTTTTGCTTTTACTGCGAGCAGTATCCGGTATTATTATTTCACTTATCACATTTATTATTTTAATTCAGTGTTCAAATCCATCGTATCAAACTTCTCAACATGTTACGTGATGTTTGTTTTATTCGCTAACTAATTGCATTAATTTTATATCCTTTTCCAAGATCTATGCAACATTCTATGAACTACTTTGTTATGACGTAGTTTACTTTATAATCACAAACATTTTAATTATATATACTTCATGGTAGAATTTGAAGTATTCACACCTGATGCTCACTAGTGACTGGCCCTATTCACGTAGGTAGTTACCTGGTGTTTTATTTGGAAGGCGTGACCGATAGGGGTGCAGCAGGTTGAAGGTGAGACAGTAACTTATTGAAGGAGACATTGCGAAGTGGTCGCACTATGTGATAAATTGTTAGAAGTTAGAATTCATGGTTTGGCCGCTGGAACGGGTTTCAGTGGCTGAGTAATGGTCTACCAGCTTGCTCTTCATGAGACTAGAAGGCCCTGTGTTGAGTGGGTGCGTACTGCTGACTAGGTGGATGGGTAGCTGTCCAGTACTCCCAGGTGGTTTTCCACTGGTTCTGTAACTGATGTCAGCTCATGATCAAATCTTATATCTATTCACACCTGTGTTAAAACTACTCCGCTGGATGTAGTTTCTTAACAATCATATATATATATATATATATATTTCGATGAAGAAACACCAAATCTGCATTATGAAATGATATCATCATTCTATTTCACAAGTTTTCATCAGCTGCAAACTACCTGGGATTATATTGGTTATAAATAATGGAAATAACATAATTCAATGTTTCAATGGTTGAAGAGAGCATATTATTGAATTAACACATCCGAAATGTAACAATCACAATGTTCAGCTTAAGATACCATCAGTTATACGCTGTCATAATAGAAAAGGAGAGAGTGGGCAGAGGACAGAAAACAGAAATACCTAATATAGAGGTTAGTTGATAAGTTCACATAACAATTCAGAGATGTTATGGTTTATAAGACTGAAACTTGTTCAATGAGCTGAAATCACTAACATGGATGACTAATCAATATAAGCAAAATGCTGTTTGAACAAATTCTTACACAACATGTTTCTTACACAGTGTTTTGTTTACAAAATTGGTCGTCATGTTAACCATCTTATTTCATCTATGAGTGTTAATACATTTGCTGCCTGGAGTTTAATACATTCATTCTCGTTAGCCATACTTCCATACTACCGTAGAGTTAGCGTGATCCATTGTTGTAAAACAATAGCAAATGTGAATAATTTGTGTGAAATAATTTTGAATGATATAATCGTCAATTTGGCGGTAATTTCACTAGTCTCCTATCGTCTCCTTTTTTAAAATTTTAGAAGCAGATGGACAGAAAATATTTCTCGGTATTCACCTCAATTCACTCCTTCAGGCACAAATAAACGCCAAACATGGCCTTCAGAACCAGAACCAGTTACACCAGGTGTAGTAAGTTTGATTGAATTGCATTAAACTTTTAGATCATTATTCTATGTACCATAAAAAGGAATATATATATATATATATACTTCAAGTTTGGCTATGGATTGATGTCAGCTGAAGAACTATTGAAAACCATCAGGGAGTACCGCACATCTGTTTCGCCCTAGTTTGCGGCTCATCGGAAGTACGCATCCATCGGGGGTTCTAACCCAGGACGCTCTGGTTACAAATCAGGCTAGTAGACAATTCATTTAGTGGGACGCGACTCAGTGGCCCATGAATATATATATTTATATATGTATTGGAAAAACTGCTCTGTTACTATCTTTTCCCGAAGTATAAGGTACTAAGGCCCCCTTTGTTCTTATATTATCTTTAGAAAAAATACTATTTTATCATCAGATACTTACTGTTTTCCATCTAATTCAGTGTAACATATTTCACACTGTAGGATTGGTATACTGCAGTATCCAGTAAGTGCTGAATAATAGACTTGATATTCGGCTTTCCAACAAAGAACGTGTGTTGAGCACAGTAGTTCACTCTGTTCTTTTTTATGGCTGAGACAAGGCCATTGAAAGCAGAGGAGACTCGAAGAGACTAACTGTCTCTGGTCAAAGGTGTTTGCAATCCATTTCCCATGTTAAGTGGTACAATGTCGTAAATAATACTAAGATTATGCAAAGAGTGCCAGGTAAAGAATGGGAGTGAATCGATGATCTTGTGAAGCTGCATCGATTGATATGGCTAGGATACGCGTTATGCATATCGAGAAACTGCCTGCTTCGTCGTGTAATGTTAGCTAATATAGGTTTAGACTGTGAGTCGGTGGCACAGGGGTTAGGACTCTCGGCGACCATGCACATGGTCCGGGGTTCGATCCCCTGCCAACGCACACCGAATATCTATGGCCGGCCTGCGAAATTCGGGCTACCGATATCACATGCTGAAAATTCCATACCTGTACCACAAAATACGGTGTGGAATCAAGCTGTAATAAAAAAAGATCTAGGGATAGTTATATCAAAACTTGACATCAGTCCATGAATTCACTGACAGTAGATTTGAACCAGTCAGTATGGTGAGGTGTAGACTACTACCTGACTGGTGTCCTCGAGAACCAATGACATGTGACTGTTGGTAACATGGCACATTCAGTCTTTTTTTTTAATTTCACAGATCCGTAACGTTCTAATGGAACTCCAGATTACTATTCTTTCCTCTGGAAATTTCTGCACATCTTTAGTCCTTCTGAATTTTCCTTTTCTCTACTTTTGTTTGTTACATGGGATGTGACGATCTGTTTGGATTTCTGTTCAAATTTCTATGTTGAAACTTAGTCAGTTGGTCAGTCAAATTAGTAATGCAAAATGGTCATTGTTTAGGTAGCCTAAGCTGTTTATATGATGCATATACGACCGATGACTTTTAATAACATCATTCAACAAAGGAATGTCTCTCACCAATGGTACAAAGTGAGGAATTTTATCAGTCAATGATTTAAGTAGTAAAACCTTAATTTACAATCATCCTGCAAACTGAAGAGCATTCTATAACACATAAATCGTTGACCATTCGGGAGAACTCGTGATCACTAGATTTAATTAAAAGCTCTTATGTTCCTACAGGCAATATCAAAAACTAGGGGTTGATTTCATGTACATCACTAGCCTAAAAACACTTCATAAATCAACCAGTTACTCACTTGGATTGCTAAATCCGAATTTCTTTCTTGATTTAATCTTATCTTTTTTGGGTAGCACCAAGGGAAAAAACTGACTGTTGGTATTAGATGATTGGAGACGATCGGCCACAGGAAGTCTTGGACCTAGGTTTCGTGCTAGTTGGCACGCATCAGCAAGGCTCAGTGGTAAAGTCTCTGACTGAAGCATTGGGTGATGCGAGTTCGAAACTCAGAAGGGGCATGAGTTTCTTCAAGGTTGCAGATACGCCTTACTGACTGGTGAGTGCCAACTAGCACGAAATCCAGGTCCAAGGCTTCCTGTGGACGATTGCCTCCAACCATCTAATACCAACAATTCACAGTGCACCGTAATGGCGAGCCATCTAGCATGTTGGCCACATTGCAAGCTTGACTGATAGAATTCAGTCTGCAACGAAGATAGGACTAGACACATTACACTAGTTACTGACTAGTGTGCAATCAGAAAAACTGACTGTTGCTTAACCTGTCTGTACTCGACACATTTACTTGTTTTAATAAAACCAGCAGTACTTAGACTATATACCGCTGACTGCTTGAAATGATTATTATATACCTATCATATCAATCAGATGGGCTCATTAGCAAGATCGAGGTGATCTAAACACTGGGCGGTCGTTCCTCTTGTTTGAAACCACCCAGTTAGCAAGAACTACTGGTAGATATTAGTGGTACACAAGGTCTCATCTCAGTCAATTATGAGTACAGAGTTTTATGCAAATATTCTTGCCTCCCTGCTTACCATTTTGGTATCAAGTGGACCACATACTGTGATGTAAATTCTTTTTAATCGATGTTTTACAGCAGCAACTACATTTTGTCGCATTTAAATTGATTTCTAACTTTTGTATAGTTACTTGTCTACTTTTCTTTTCCGTGATGGTCTTGTGCATATTTCTGTATAAAGAAGCCCTACTTAAGTGACTTTATTCTCATATAAGATTACCAAAAGGATTTGATTTCCGTAACAGCATGCAGGTCCTGCATACTTCTTCAAGTTGACGAGAAAGCGATACAAAACTTTGTTTACCTTAACTCGTTACTTTAGTAGTACACAAAGATATGAAAAGAGAAAAAAAGTGGAGATATAACATTCAGACAGACGTTATCTGAAGAGTTTAGCCACTGAATTTTAGTGTCTTGATGAATTTCATAAGATAACTTCCACTGACAGAATTCAGTCTACACCAGTCAGAGAACTAGACACACAACATTACTAGTTACTACCTAGTGACTAATCAGAGTATCCAGCATACTCCAACAGAAGGTCAGTCATGAGCCTGTAAATCTCAGTCTTAACGTCTGTGACTGCAGAACCGGGTGAAACAGGTTTGAATCTCAGAGGGCTCAACTATACCCTACTTAGCTCGTGTTCTGTAGGATAAAGAAAGCATTAGGCGTGAAACTTATAACTTATTGCATAGTCAGTAGAACAACTGGATCTCGTCTTTCCAACCCATATCACTTATAGATACAACGTTTTCTTTCTTTCCTTTCCTTTTCTCCCCTTTTTTCTATGTGTTGTTTTGTTTCTCTCTTCCTTACAAACTCTGCTTAAAACATTCTTCTTCGTTCTTTCACACTCTGTATATGTCAACCTTTTTGTTACCGCTTACGCCAGTAAATATGTTAGTATCTGCTTTTCTAACACCTTCAAACACTCTGTTCAATTTTGGCTTTGCTACCGACGTGCTAAAATGTTGTTGTCTAAACTATGTGGAATTTTATTTATTGTTAATGTACTAACTGGATGCGATACTGTAGTAAAATGCTGAGAATTCTATTCTGTATCATTTGTACTGTTTTGGAATAAAGCATATTATTATACGTTTCTCGAAGACTGCAGATACGACTTGTTGATTGTGAGTGCCAACCATCATGAAGTGCGTCGGTGGCATAGCAGTTAGGACGCTCGCCGACCATGCACATGGTCTGGGGTTCGATCCCCGGCCACCGACGCACTCCTTTACCTCGATAAACCAGAAATAATGCTGGTAAAGAGAAAGGTTGGGCATGAGGCTAGCAACCCCATCCTATAAAAAATAAAAACTGCTACAGAAACTTCAAGTTACTAGCTTTAAGCCCTATGTTCCACGGGGGAACGTGAAGGAAAGAAAAAAACCATCATGAAATATGGATCAAGCACAACTTCCTTCTGATTACCTCCAACCATCAAATAATAACTTCCACATTCTTCGCATAGATGAGATTAACGGTCATCAGCCTAATAACCTAAGATTATTTATGTATTTGCTTCTTCATGTAAAGCAACTTGTGCCTGAATTTTGAAGTAACAAACTGCGCATCATAAAGAGGCATTCTTTAAAAAGGACAAAATTAGCATTTATCGGAAAAAATGGACGTCTACTGGAAGTTTGTTTTGTTTTTTTCACTTCTGTAAAATATGTTGGGAATTAAACATTTTAGGTTCTTTTTTAGTTTTCTCAACATTAATACAATTGTTTCCTTTTATCTGTTGTAGGTTGACATTGAAGTGAAAGTTGTAAGTTTATATTTTATACTTTCTGTGAAAGTCTGAATGAATTTATTAGCATGAATAAATTAACATGTGGGGACAGTGTTTAAAGTATAGATGACAGGCTACATATAGTCTGACAGCTCTCTTTTCCTCTGTACAACTGCAAAAGTAGAAAGATTCATCAAGTCCACCGTCACCTTAAGCACTGACCATTGTCCAACGTGGTTAGGAAAAGCAGCCGTAAAGTCAATCAGGCTTTCTGTATTGGCACACCTTGTGTAAATGGACCACAAGATTGATAAAAAAATTCCACCTTTACAGTTTTATACAAGATACCACCTCAGTTCCCTATGTTTATATGCTTTCGATTACTAAGCATGACTGTGGCAGTCGTCATAGAAGTTTTTCAACACAATATTTGTGTTCAGAAGAAGTTTGTTCAAGCCATCTCCCTCCCATGACCTAGTTGTTATTGTTCTGCTTAGATCCTTCTATTGATCCAGATTGTTTCAAATGTCTAAGACTGAAATTTCATGATGTAATTGTAGAGCCTGATGAGAATTTACCGGGAATACATACTTCCTGGCTTTAATCGTGTTCTGAAACACTAAAGCTATCAAACTGCTGTTATTGTGAATCATAAAACTGTTTTCTCACATTAACACAGTGTGCTCTAGGTTCTTACACAGAAGTAACCTATGTTTGCAATACAATACAAATCCATATCATGTATCCCCATAGTTGAATAAACTATAATTGCATATTAAATATGCTTATTTGACAAAGCACACTGAAAAAATGTTTCTTAGAGGAATATGTTATGAGGACTATTTATTACCCATGATTGTCGAGAGGCAGTCATACAACTTTTCAGAACTTGATATTTTTAGCTTAATTCCTGCCTTCCTGATTATTTTGTTTTGTTGATAAAAGGATCTTCTATATCTCTGAGCCTGATATAGTATCACTGTTTTGCATTCATCGGGTGTTGTATCCATGATCAAAGACTTCGTAGTGTGAATACACTGACTTTTAGCTCTGTTTCATCATATCACTTGAATGTTTGTTGATAAATGCATAGCAGTAATTGAGTTTCATTCTAATTTACTCATTTAAGTGTGGACTACTATTCTAAGTTTAGCTAAATTCCCTTGCTCGAGCAATGGAAACGGCCATAACCGTATAGAGACAGTCAAATAGAATTGATGTTGTTAGGTAGATTGGATTATTTTGTACTATTTGGTTACAGGATACCATCATGAGCTGACATCAGTTAGAGAACCATTGGAAAACCTGCAGGGAGTCCTGGACAACCGTTTCGTCCTGGCTTGAGACTCTTCATAAGTACGCACCCACCACAGGGGCTCAAACCCAATACTTTCTGGTTATAAGGCGAGCTCGTAGACCTTCAAGCCACTGGGACCATATGATTAGTGAAACCATTGAGCTACTAAAGTTTATTTTTGAATGAACTGATACACTGGAATTCCACATTGATCCGAAAAAAGACAGTTGGCAATCTGAAGCTGCTACTTCAGAGAAAATTCAAATTAAACTGCTTCAGTTGATGAGGTAAAAAATATAAACCAGGGGAGAATATTTAAAGTAATGATTTTATCACTAATTGTAACAGAACTGAAGACAAAAGTTCCGCTGTTAATTTGAGTAGTGGCAGTCTTGGTCGATATAACATTGAGGACTTCGTGCATCGAATCAACGATATAGCTCCTTGCCCGCTGCAGACAGCATCTGATTATTCCCTTGGGTTCCAATTGGATCATAGGGCTTCAACAGAAAACCCCCATTTCACCCTGTTCTCCACAGTCATCTTTAGCTGTTTCCATGATCTTCTATAGGTCCGAATTTCCTCTTCAATATCACCCTTGGACTCACGTCTAACTCTTAGTTTCGCATTCGGGTTACACTTAAGGGATGGGCTGGGGCGATGTCACTCATTCTACGTGTATATTAGTTCACAATATATATTGAAGTTAGAAGAAATAAAGAATGAAATTATGTAAATCTACTTTTTACTGTCACAACTTATTTCACTGTAATATATATATATATAAAGTGTGATTAAATTGGAGCTAAGAGCTGTAAATGGAGAGAAACATCCAAAACATTTCAGATATGTTTGAACACCTTTAGGGAATCATTAGTAGAATAAACATTTCCGGTCATAGCTTTTAGAATTTCTCACCAACTTATTATGTCTATCGTGTGTCTTTTTTTTAACCCCAGAATGATCAAGTATGTTAATTTTTCCCAATTTTAGATTTGTTATGAGTAACTGATAGTCTTTTTATTCCCAAATATACCGTTATCATTAAAATTATTTATTTCTAAGAAAACCTTACTTATTCACAGTAGAATGCTTACCAGCTATGCAAGTGGTCCGCGGTCAGATTCTCAACAAACAGACTCCTAGACACCGTTTGCCAGGAAAAGAAAGAAGATTAGGTGTGTTGTTAACAACCTCACCCTGTAGAAAAAGAATAACACAACTCCTGTTGAAAATCCCAAGCATGAATCCTTGTATTCCACTGGGAATGCAAAGGAAAAAGAAATATAAAAATAAATTCTCACATGGTTTACTCAGTAATATTAACTTCACTCTGTTTAGGTATTTAGTATGCAGGTAAACTAATGGAAAATTACACTCATTTTACACCACCAATTACTTTGATTGGACACTAGTTAATAACTGGTGTAGTGTGTCCAGTCCTTTGTTTAGTGCAGAGTGAATTCTATCGTTAGTCAAGTTTGCAGTGTAGCCAGAATTCTAGATGGCCAGCCATCACGGTGCACTCTGAATTGCTGATATTAGATTTTCAGGTTCGAATCTCAGAAGAGACATGAGTTCCTTCAAGGTTGTAGATACGCCTTGCTGACGAGCGCCAAATAGCACGAAGCTTAGGTCCAAGGCTCCCTGACAACTGCCTTCAGCCATCTAATATCAGCGCTATTAATTATCGGAAAAGCGTTCATCTATGTACTGACAGCAGTCAGATTTCCTATTATCTTATTTTTCGGACTACTTTGCATTCCGAATGTAACATAAGACTTCAGGCTTTAGAGTTTCATTTGCGTTGGTGTTGGGTTTACAGTTTTAGGTTGATAGCCTCAATGCCAACGTACCCTCTTCTCTAGGGTTACTATCGAATAGCGAACCAGGTAAGGTTTAAGAGTGCGTCTACCATGAAATAAACTCCGGAAGGTGTGCCTAACTACTGAGCAATCCAGTTTTTTTTTCTATTCATGCAACTAGATTTCAAAGACTGGTAACACTTCCTGTAGAGTGATTTAACTTTCACAAGTGGAAGGATGGCATGAAGTTTCACTAACACTTACAGCTATTTAACCTATCCAACTAAGTAATAATTTATGAAAAAAACCGATATGAAGACAAAATTCGCCACCAGTCAACATTTCTGAGAAAATATGAATAACTAGTGTTCAGTGGAGTTGTAACTTATGAAGGACTGGTTGATTAATGCCATCAGTCGACTTTTAAACGGATGACTATGTGACTTTATGTTCACAGATAATTGTGAAAACACACAAGAATGAGCGGATGGATGTTCGCGATAACGTTTAATATCACTCTACGTATATGCATGATATTTTATGCAACAGAATCCATCAAATCTAACTGTCATGACAGTGATAATAGTAAACATAAGGTCATTTAATAAATGAATAGAGAACTGACTAAAGGATAGCATGATATCTGTGTAAATGCATGAAACCTACTCCTACAATTCACTGTTTAACTCCTTAACCATTTTCTTTTCCATTTGTGAAGAAAATTGGATTATGCATAAAATCATTTTTGTTCACAAACTTCTAGCCATCAGCAGAATGGTCAGTTGACAGCTTACACAGCGCTTTATATTTAATTTTCATCGAGGTTTCCATTCGTTGAAATTTATTCCAAAATGTGTGAGATATTACAACACATGATGAGCACAATTCATCTAATTCGACAACCTAGTAAAATGTGTGCACTCAGTCAACACTGTCTCATCGTTAACTGATATCAGTATGATTTGTGTATGGTTTTATCACTGAAAGTGTAATTACTATTAATCATTTTAAAACTGTAAATTTTATCTTACACACAGAAAAGGACTTCATATCTGTACAATGCTAACGTATCGAATACACATGTCAAGCCTAAATGGATGTGTGTGTGTCAGCTGAAAGACAGGTGTAACTCATTCTGTGCTTAATTGCAGAGTAGGATTTACTTTCGCTTAGCTGTGATAACAGTACTAAGGTTGGATGAAAGTTGGAGTTGGACTCATAGATTATGAGAAAATTCATTCATTTATTCATTGAGGCAACATGCAACGACAATAATAGTTACTTATGACCACTTGAGAACTATGTATTCAATGTAGCGGTACAGTGCTCGCCAACCACGTCTCATGTGGTCTGAGGTTCGATCCCGGCCGCCAACTCACTCCTTCACCTCACTAAGCCAGTAATAAGACTGGTATAAGGGGGAAGGTTGGGCATGAGGCTGCCTAGCAACCCTAACCTGTAAAAATAATTACCACTGCTTGAAGCCCTGTGTTCCACTGGGAACGTAAGGGAATGAAAAAATATGAAAACTAGAGATAATAATATTAAAGGTCCGTCCATGTTGTTCAGTTGACCAAGAAGAATTTAGAGTTTAAATATACTTCTTTCAGGTATGTGATCCATGTCCCTTCTGTCTAGTCGAAAGTGCTTTTAAATTCTTAAGCAAATTAACAAGGAAATTGTGAAACAAATCGTAATAGGAAATAAAATGCTGCATTGAAAATATTAATTCATATCCTAGTCCGCTCCGTCTCCCCTTATGGCTATGAGAGTGGAAGACATGAAAAGTTTAGCCGTCTTCAATTATAGGTGCCTGCGTTCTGTCTTTCGTGTGAGGTGGTATAATGAGATCAGCAATACTGAGGTTAGGCATCGGTCAAGTGCTAGGTAAAGAGGGGAAATCAATCGACGAGTCTGTGAAATTACATCAACTGAGATGGTTAGGACATGTGTTACGTATGCCTAGTCATCGCCTTCCTCGACAACAGGCAATTTTAGCTGACATAGGGTGAGGCTGGAAATGAGCTAGTGGTTAAAAAGAAAATTTTCTTTTCGACGATACATTGGCATGAGCTGTACAATCGTAACTATAATTAACACAGGTTTTAGGTCTCGAATAGCTAATGCTTCAGCTATGTACAGATGTCGTATCTGGAGTCCTTTTGTACGATATTGAGGGGCTCTGTGTACCACTGTGAAGCATTCATGTGGGGGTGCTCGATGTCTGGAAATAACAAGGTGTTCGAAGATTGAGCTGTTGCTATTCTTCTTTTCTCCTTGGCTAACCAAGCTGGGCAGTGTTCCAAGATACGTTTGTGGACTTGACGTTGCGTACGGCCGATATACTTTGCTCCACACGAGCAAGTAAATTGATAAATACACATTGAAGTGGCCAAAAGCGGTATCTTGTCCTTAACGTTAGACTGGATTAACTGTCTGCAGGAAAATGTTATACGTAGGATGGCTGTTGGGAATGTCTTCTTCAGACTTTTTGAAAGGCCCTTTCTGAGAATTTCCGCTGCGATGTCACCTTTGATTGCTAGGTTCATGAAGAGAGTCTTCTTAGGAACCGTTGTGATGGTAAATCACACAGTGTTATACAGCATTATTTGCTGATGACGTTTCGATCACAATTTCTGAGCAATAAATTTTACCTATAAGGGAATTATACTCTACCACAATGCACAAGTTTTATTCTTTTATTTTTATTGTTATCAGACAAACCTAATGTTGTACACACTCACACATACAAAAGCAAGTATATATAATTGCAATTGTACAGCTCAGCTAAGTGAATGAATTCACCACTGAAAAGAAACTCTTCGTTGAACCTACCTGTTTTGTTTTCATTAATTTTTTCTTCAGTAAAATTACTTTATATGTTTCAAAAGAAAGAGAAATAACTCCCATAGAAGTTCTAATTTCCAGTAGTGCTTTAGGCGACATTTATACACTGTGATAATTAATCTGAGTCAAATTAAAAACAAGTGAATTTATAGTTTAAACAATCTCAAGCATGCATACCATTCAGCCACTGGGACCCGATTCAATGACCAACTCATAAATTCTAACTTCTACCAATTCGAGATTTAGCGCGACGCCAACCAATGTCGTCGGTGGAACAACCATCCTCACACGTGACATCTGGATGGACCTCACTGTTCAAGACTTCTCACTAGAACTTCAGGAAACTCCATCCTGTAGCAAGTCACTAACGAGTATCGAAATAATTTTCTACACTTGGTTTGTAAGGATTAGTTTTGTTTTTACGAGTTGATCACGAATTGATATCAGTTAGAGATGCAGTACGCACCCACTGGGGTTCGAACCCAGGACCTTCCGGTTACAAAGCAAGCCAATGATTCACAAAAAAACTAGGTTGAAACAGCTGTCCAATACACCCTGGTTTTCAATGCTTCTCTAACTGATATCAATCCATGATCAACTCGCAAGAACAAAACTAATCCTTACAAACCAACTACAGTAAAATCTCAAGCATACTATGAGATTTTCTCCATATCTCACTACTTGTTCCACAATTTTAAATGTTAGATTTCAACATTAGTTAGAGAGATCACTGAAAATCAGAGAGCTTTCAACATCTGTCTCGTCCTCTTGACTGGTACTCTTCAACGGTGTGCGCCCTCAACCTCGTCGGGGACCGAACCCTGGATGTTTAGGCTATGGGAACAAGCTCGTTAACTTTTAAGTCACCTGTACTAGAATTATTTGATCCCTGAATTCTAACTTTACCAACTGGTGATATAGCGCTTCCCTCACTGATGCCTCCGATGAGCATCCAATTCACCTTGACACACACAGTAGACTCCGCTAGTCACGACTTCCCACTGTAGCTTCAGTAAATCGATCCAGTAGCCATCATTAAGCTCGCGATTGTTATTCAGACATAATTCATACGCAGTCACATAAATATAGTGCGTCGGTGGCACAGCGGTTAGGACGCTCGCCGACCATGCACATGGTCCGGGGTTCGATCCCCGGCCACGGACGCACTCCTTTACCTCGCTAAGCCGGAATAATGCTGGTAAAGAGAAAAGGTTGGGAATCAGGCTAGCAACCGCATCCTGTAAAAATAAACACCACTGCTACAGAAACTTCAAGTCACTAGCTTGAAGCCCTATGTTCCACTGGGAATGTGAAGTAAAAAAACATCAATATGAATCTTTCAAAAATAAAGCTAAGCAAATGTTCAGAAATATGCACTTCGTTAAATTATAATTTTTAGACCCCTCATGGTTGATAGTTTGTAGATATTCTTAGGGTCAGATAACTGTATTCATTCAAATAACTAGTGAGTCATTTCTTTTGGTGATTTATTTGAAATGTGACTCTAATGACCGGTGTTAACAAAACGAAATTGTTACCGTCCGGAATGAAAGAGTGAGATATCCTATTAACTGAATTAGCTAATATCTAATAAGTGACATGAGTGAGTATTTCTGTTCTTTTATCCGTTTCCCCCTCCCCCGCTCAACATATGTCTATTTCACTGCAGTCTTGCCGTCATTATTAGGCGTTTCTTAAGGTAAAGCTTACCAATTAACAAAATTACCTGAACCTCTACTGATGAGTCAGAGTGTACTCAATAATATATGTGTGTAAAACTTGGGGACTGTGGTAGTAAGTAATTCCATATTAGTTTGTTTATTAGATGTATCGCACAGTAAATTAATTAATTTTTAATTTTTCCTTCACGTTCCCAGTGGAACATAGGGCTTCAAGCTAGTGACTTGAAGTTTCTGTAGTAGTGGTGTTTATTTTTACAGGATGCAGTTGCTAGCCTGATTCCCAACCTTTTCTCTTTACCAGCATTATTTCTGGCTTAGCGAGGTAAAAGGAGTGCGTCCGTGGCCGGGGATCGAACCCCGGACCATGTGCATGGTCGGCGAGCGTCCTAACCGCTGTGCCACCGACGCACACATGTATCACACAGTGAAACAGTATTATTTAATGGATGAATTATGAATTGCAAAGTCAGGAAGGGGAGCTTTCAATGTTAGATTGCAACGTAAAAAGGAAGGAAGATGGAAGTTAAACACTAGTGTTTACAGGAAACCCACACATTCAAACAGATACTTGGAATTCGGATCATCCCATCCATCCTATGTCAGTAAAAATAGGATTAGTGAAATGTTTAAGTGACAGAGCACAGAAACTAAGTGGTACTAAGGAAAATCTAAGACAAGAAGTGATACATAAAAGAAGTCTTGAAACTTAATAATTACCCGGATAAATTAGTCAAGAAATATGTAAGTAAATGTAAAAATAAAATAAATAATGATAGTAGCGATAGCGATAATAACAATGATAACAATAATAATGATAATAATAATAACAGTAATGACGACACCAACAATAATGAATCTAAATCATCAACAGTAATTCCATACAAGGAAGGAACCTCGGAAGCCTTACGCAGAATTCTTAACAAGGTAGGAATAAAAGTGGCTTGCATTCAAACCAACCACAAACTCAATTAGAAACAAGCTTTGTCGGTTAAAGGATCAATCCTGTAGGGCTTTTGAAACAAAACAATTTAGCTTATCTAATACCCTGTCGGAATGATTGTCAGGTTAAATACATAGGTCAAACTAGTAGAACAGGAACAGTCAGACTAGCTGAGCATAAAAACTTAGCAAAATCTAGACTGGTTGACCCGAATAAGATAAGAAATCTAGAGAATAGTTCAGCTATAGCACTACATGCAGTTACACACAAACATACAATAAGCAGGATGGGATAGGATTACAGTTTTAAAATCTAACGTAACAGCTGGGTAGATGGAGAGATTGATAACAGAAGCTTTGTTAATCGAATCAACTGCAAATATATGTGATAGAAATGACTCATCACCTTTCCCTGATATCTGAAAAATTCTGCTACCCCTACGACGACAAATAGGAGAAGACAAAGAAAACTATAAAACTCAAGTTTCAAAGTCGTGTGATTACAATTGATATGATTATGAGCAATAAATTTTGTTCGAGACGCTGTTATCCAGTAAATAATACTGTTTCGCTGTGTGATACATCTAATAAGAATGTACTCATCTTTGTGTCACTTTTGTGTGTCAGAGTTACTCCAGTAGGAGAACAAAAGTTAACAGAAACGGATAATTTTCTAGACCTCAGTTTAAATTAGCCTCATATTCATCTGAAATTAGCCTTATGAAATATGCATTAGCCTTAACACGACATGTTTCCAGTATTCATTTAACATCGAGTTATTTATTTTTTTTCTTTTATGCTTAAATTTTATTACACGCGAAGAAAGTGCTTAACATTTTTTTTGTGTTTTCCAGACGCATACATGTTCACCACGTCAATCTCCTGTACCTGCTGTGCGAAACAAAACTCCTTCACCTGTTCGTTTCGCTGGTAAGTGAAGTTAGTATATGCATAAACAGCAATTTTGACATGAAAACATAAAATAAATACTCACTTGAGAAGCTCATTTTTTTTCCTTACTATGCTCATAGAAAGCTAAATAATTTGATGTTTTAAGGAAAATGAATATTTTCGGTAACCATGATTCTCAGTAAAAGCTTGGCATTGGTAATGCTTTAAAGTTACTAGCATATTTAAATGAAACCTGAATACTGAAAGGAATTTTTATTATTGAAACATTTCAACTTATCTATATATAAAACACAAAATAATCGAGCAAAGTATATCCTTTTCGATAATTTCCTCATCTGGCTCTACAAATATATATATGTTTATATACATAAAATATTCTAAAATAGTAGTCAATAACAATATTATTGTTTTTTTTAATAATATCGATTTGTAAAGTATGATCAATGCAATTACATTTCATTAAAGATGCTTTAATTGTAATAATAATAATAAAGATATAGTAGCGAATAGAATATCAACTAAAATTGGGGAAATTCCACAAAAATCCAGGATTATTCAAATCTGGATGGCCAAGGTAAGGAAAATGTCTGAACTAACTTCTTTTAGATGCATAAATTAGACTTGTTAATAGGGTTCCCCACAGCCTCAGCAACATTTAGTAGTCGAACTCTTAGGGCAAAATTGAGATTCGTTGGTATGCGGTAAATGACCCTGAAAGCATGGTTAACATCAATCTTCTGTTTGTCTCCACAAGCTGAGACAGAATAGCGCTGAGAATGGATTTTGTTTGTCCTTTGCATAACCACACACAGTGATGTGATTTTCGGAAATTCGACGGCAAACACGCCTAATTGTACGGTCTATGTAACTGGCTCACTCCGCAGGAGCAGTTAAATTGGTAGATTCACATGGAAGAGGCGAAATTAGGCAGTTTGTCTTTTATTCCCGAACACATAAGAGGAGTGGATTTAAAGATACAACGTAATTCAGCAGCAGGGAATGCTCTTTTTACCGCACTTCTAAGGCGCTGTGTTAATATCTCGCTAGTGTTGTCCCCAAGGAACTGCATCTGTAAGAATAAGGCCTTTTTTGGAACTGTTGGTAACTTGGGCTGCTTTGGTTTCAGATTCAGATTCTTATCAATAAACTTTTCAGGATAACCATTTTCACTTAACAACCGTTTAATATTATTAAGTTCCTCATCAAGACATTCGTCCGAGCGAATCGCTCTTGCTCTGTGAACCAAGCACTTTATCAGACTGCGTTTGTATTTCAAGGGGACAAAGCTGGGAAAATGTGTGTACTGACCCGCTGATGTAGGTTTTCTATATACACTTCTTCTTATTGTGCCATCCTCTTTTCTGGTCATAAGAACGTCTAAAAATGAAATACTACAGTCTTTTTTCCTATATTTTGTATATATATTTCCCTAAATATTTATAAATAAAGCAAAAGTGCTTTTCTCAAAGAAGAGAGAAGACATTAGTGTGTAGATAAAATTAAAATTGATGATACTCTGACTTCTCTCTTTTTACAGTCTATTTGTTGCATAATACTCTAATATTCTCAGTGATAACCTTGCCGTGTAACTGGCTCTAACTTTCTTCTGTTACATATTCACTACCATTTTGAGAACTGATTGTCACACACATACTTGAAGTCTTATGTTGCCGAAGACAATGCAGATGGATTAGATACACGCAATTGGATGATATCGCGCGCCAGACCATCGCTTGAGTGGTACTCAAATGGGAAACGATGAGTAGCGTGAGATTCTGAAGGTTGACATGGAGGAGATCGTATGAGGAGGAGATGAAAGCTTATGGGCAATCATCGGATGAGCTAAAGAAGACAGCGGAAAACAGGAAAAAACGCAGATGTTCTGTTGAAGTCCTACATTCCACTCGGAACCTAACAGAATAATGACAACACTCATACTGCATCAATCAAGAGGTAGCCACCAATAAACAATGTTAAATAATATATAGTAACTTCGATGGCTAGCAAAACTAAGAAAAAAAGTTGGAAGCTAGGTGTCTCAATCTTTCTGCTGAATATCATTCCGAAAGTACGATCGCACACTACCGCAAAAATAGTTGTGATTATTATTATTCCCTTAGATTCCAAGTGAAACGCAGAGCTTCAAAACATCACTCCACTTTTACCTCTTCTCTACAGTTCTCTTCAGCTGACTATGTGATTACTCGTAAGCTCTCATCTGCTGCTCACACGGTCTCCTCCATGTCACACTTGAATTGACGCCCAACCTTTCATTCCCCATTTGGGCTCCATTTGTGGGCCTGCCTGGTGTGTGACGTCAACCAATAATCTCTTCTTCCATTTTCATCGGAATATTTACTGGGCTATAGGTTCTAGGATGGTTCGTTGCCTGTCAGAGTTCCTTGTAGCTAACTCTTTCTGATCAGACATCTGATCTTCAGTATGGAGCCACCTAAGCCAGTTATTGATACACCAGCGATTTTGCTTTCCCTGAAGGCTAGTAGAATCCTGCGACTCAGCAGGTCGTAGACATTTTCAACACTCTCGAAAATAGAAAACACCATTAAAGGCCATATTTTAATAGATTAGAATAAACTGAACAAGAAAAATTATACCGTGTAATGGAGTATTTTGTTAGCCCAGATTTCAAACAGGCCACCTCTGGAAAATGCTTTTGGTAGACATGGATCAGCAGTTAATACTGAAGGGTTATATCACAGACGTTGATTTAAATTTACAAATTTACATTTATCCTGTGCTACGTTTCAAGCATGCATTTTTCTGAAATTATTTGACATCCAATTTGAAATTATTAAATTATACGTTTTTACACTTAGTCCATTTACGAATTCGTGGTTTGTTTTGTTTTGTTTGTTGTTTTTTTACTTCAGAGAAACCTACTGAGCTAAGGGCTAAATCATGGGATACACGTAGCCATCCACAGCGTCCATCTAATGGCGAACAAAAGTAAGCAAATAAAGTATACCGTATACAATAAACGAATAAAGGTATAAAGGACACTAGTTAGTCACCAGTTTCCAATCAAAAATATCCAATCCAGTCCTACAGGAGGTCCATTGCGAGTCTGAATAGCTAGCTCAGTGGTTAACGTCTCTGACTGCAGAACTGTGTAACACAGGTCCGAATCTCAGAAGGAACATGAGTTCCTTAGAGATTGCAGATACGCTTTACTGATTGGTGAGAGCCAATTAGCACGAAACCTAGGTCAAACAAGGTTTCCTGTCTATCACCTCCAACCATCTAACTCAGAAGACGAAGTCACTTTTTATTAGTATGATGAAATGTTTTGTCCTCAAAAACAAAAACACAGTCAACTTTGGAACAAAAAAATAAGATGACACTAATAAAGCTTTTGAATTCATTGACAAACCTATCAAATAACCTTTAACAATGTTAAAGCATTCTGAATTACAAAAAAAATGTAAGGTTTTCAATGTTTTTCTAAATGGCATCAATCCGCTACCAAACTTGAAACAGATCAAATTTGTGCAAATAAATAAACTCTTGAAAACCAATCTAATGCTCGCTACTGACTGGTTGCAGGACGAAGTTGACTGGAGTTCAAGTGAGAACTCGTGACAAGTGGAGTCTATCAGGTCGGTTGTAAGGAAAATACTCGCCAAAGATATTACTGGCTGGTGTTGGCACTAAAAACCATGGATTGGTAGAGTTAGAATTCATGGGCTAGCCACTGAGTCAGGTTGCAATAGCTGAATAGTCTATGAGCTTGATTTGTAACCGTAAAGTCCTAGGTTCGAACCCCAGCGGGTTCATACTGCTGAAAAGTCACACATTAGGGCGAAATAGCCCGCTTTTCAGTACTATCTGATTCTCTAACTGATATCATTCCGTGGTCAAACATGTGAGACAAAACAATTCGCACAAACTAACTCTAGAAAATTTAGAAAACTAAAGACACGACTATACGTAGCAACTTCTCCTTCGTTTCATTTTGATGAAATTATGAGATAACTACATTTTCCGTGTTTATTTATTAAATATCCTAAATTAATTATCGAAATCAGATAGCCATATTAACAAAATGTTAACTTTATGGATCATTTTCTTCTCCTAGACGGAGTATCCAATAAATTTCACTTTGCATTAGCTTCTTCTCCTAATATTTGCAAATAAGACTGGTCATTGAACAAACTTATTTCAGAATGTGAATTTTTGCACTCATATGTAATAAACTACTTCCAACTATATTAGTGTATGCAAACATACATGGCCTTTTGAGACTTAAAAATTCGAGAACACCTTTTACCGAAAACTGAAAAAGTTCACAAAATTCAAAAGTATGGAGAAATCCGCTTTTCATGCCTTAGGACTCATTATCCATTTGAATTCTCGTCATTGTTCTAATGTGGAACTATAAACGCTGTGGTTCAGTAGAGAAACACATTGTTGTTGTTGTTGTTTTTCTTATATTGATAATCAGAAAAGAGAAAATTCTACTTTTTTCACGTTCATTTCACTCCTTTCATTAAGTCATCAAACCCTTACTGGATCACTTTTTTAATAAGATCGGTAAGCTTTCACTCTGCGAGTGGTTGTCTTGCCATCTGCTCTGTCAAAGAGTAAAGTATAAGTGTTTCGCAATGAAGTATTCTGTACTTCTTCAAATAGTTCCATAAGTATGTGTAAAAAAAATTGCCTAAACAATAGTTTGCACTGAGCTGAATTAATCTTCTATCCAGTTTCCTGTAACTTAAATTATGTTTCTCTTCATCTCTTCTCGTCTAATTCATAAACCAATAAATAAATTTTATTTTCAGGTGGTGTGTTGTCAATGTACATCATGTGAGTGCAAAACCCCAGGAGTTATCTGTGCAACCAGGTGATGTTCTCTCAGTAAGTAAACGTTTTATTACTTAACAGACTACTTTCTGTCTCATTTTTAATAAACACGAAACTTTACAAAGATAATATGCGAAGATTATTTTATTTTATAACTCGAAATAGTGACAACTTAAATATTGTAACGACGAAAATCGACTCGTTATAGTCTGAACGCAGGGAACCGATCTTTGAGTCCTACGGCAAGGTTAAACTCATTTTTTCATCCTTATTATTGATAAGACCATTATTATTATTATTATTACTATTATTAATATTATCATTACTACTATTATGACTAATTGCACAATTTATATTCACCAGCGTATTATCCTATAGACAAAACACAATGATTGGTTTATATTTGAATTTTTATTTGTAAACTTATATATATTAGAGTTAAGCTTGATGAGATTTAATTGAAAGCAATATTGTTCGCTTAAATGTGTTGTTCTAAACTTTAAGCACCAATAAGTAGTAACAGACAAATATCCTTGAACGCACCAGCCACATGATCAAAGTAATTTTTGCGTATAAAATACGTGTATTTGTAAAAATAATGAATTAAAAGACATGAAACTGTTATATAGGATACCGTTCTCAGACATGTGACAAATATACATCTCAGCTTTGGATTGGAGCATCACCTAACCCAAACGTGAAAATAACCTTTAACTAACTCGAATCAACCCTAGTATAGCCCTCATTAGGTTAACCTAACCCTAATCTTAATCTTAATTTAATCTTTCTCAAACCTAACCTGAAACCTGCCAGATATCCCATTCAACAACATAACTCTCCTTTAAACATATTTTATCCATGATTACAATATAATTTACCAAGTCTCACCAACTTCCTCACTGAACGTTTCAAGGTCACTGGTGCGGTCGCACTCCACTAGTACTTACTGGTGCTTAAAGTTCAACTTCGCCTGTTCTATTGTATAGCTGCCCGAAACCCCCTTGAGACACGCACAGTCACAAAACGCTCCAAAGACAACGAAAATAAGATTACTCGTCGTTAGATCTATATGGCCCTATTCAACCATAACAACGTCAAAAACTCAAAATTACCTCAGTAGTGCTTTTAAGCATCTGTACCGATAAGGTCGCTTTCTAAGTACAGAACAAGTAATATAGAATGAAATTATTTAACCAAAATTCAACTGTAAAAAAAACCTGAAAATCAATCAGAATATTCCCGACAAGGTGGGAATAAAATCTCTGTCCATGACAATTATACACCAACAATTTCCGCAGACAGTTCAATGTCAGAATTACCTTGATTTACTCAAAGAAAACCATGTCATAAAATTACGGATAAAACTGTCAAATATGCATATAATAACGATGAAGTCAACATATGAAATGCAAATGTTCGGACAGTGATGTACAGTTGAGAAGGAAAACTCATAATAATCACCCAGCTGAAACATCGAAACAAGTATAAACATTTTAATTAGATCGTTCAGGGGGTGGGTATTTTACAAACAATTATCCCGTTACAAATATTACCTTATATTTAGTAGAAGTAACAAAATCGTAGTCAAATTCAGCATATCTCTTGATGCTATTTTATGAGTATACTATAATGTTTATGGTCAATAGATAGTCTCACTTTGAATGAGCTATACAGCATTCTTTTGGATGTAAAATTTATCATTCTAAATATGTACATTTACTGCATACTATATTCCCAGCACAAAGATTCCTAAAGATCCTGTATTCATTTAGATTATAGTACCTTAAGTATACAACTGGTGGATGGTGGCTAGCAGTGGAATCCAGGATGCGCATTTCGTCCTATTTGGGACTCGTCAACTAGATGTACCTGCATTTCTCAGTGAGTGATGATGTTCCCACTGAGGCTTGAACCCAGTGCCCATAGTTTCAAACACCAAAGCGTTATCCACTAGACCACTTGGGCCACGAGAGCCACCTCTTGTGCAACGGGTCATATTAATTATTGAATTGAATTTTTGATTTTCCCGTCGATTGATTGGACGGGAGTGCTCGGTCTCAGGTTGACATGTCGCTTCGACGGGAAAATCAAAAATTCAATTCAATAATATAGTACCTTAAGTATTAGTCCGTTTTCGTTTTTAAAGTATAATGTTAAGGTGGTCAACCTATCACTGTTAACCGTGAAATTTTGATTGGTGCACGCAGTGAAATGAGAGGCTGATTGGACAATTTTTGATTGGATACTCAAGGTCATGCATTTATTCAGATAGTGATTATTTATTTATGGTTTAAATTTATGTGGATGTGTGAACGATGTATATACCGTGTATTTTGAATAATAATAAAGGTTGTAGCAGTTAAATATGATTTTTGTGTCTAACGCAGTGTGGGGAATATTTTCAAGTGGTCTTTCTTTAGAGGCTTATGTTAGTCAATTTAGACAACCACCAAACATTAACGCTCCATTATAACACGGAGTAGTATCTCCCCTACGTAATGTGAACTTGAGCAATGTTCACTTCTACTGCCTTTTATGCTTTTATAATTACGCAGTTCAGTATTCCAACTGAGGCAAAAGTTAGTGATTCCACAAAGTAAATACATAAACGTCGATAAAGAAAGGACGGGCACTGGACTGGGACGCTTTTACTGTATCCACAGAAGACAAAACTAGGGAATGACGTATATATATATATATATATATAATACGGAGAAAAGCAATTAAATAATAGAAAGGTAACTAGATGAAAACAAATTAAGAGGTCGTTAAAATTCATCATTCAAATGTTTCAACTGTCATTAGATTATTCGCTTCTCTGCAGACTATTTATTCGAAGTGATAATTGTGACTTCTTGATTAGTGATAAGCACTCACCTAACATTCCTCATACAAATTAACATGCTTCTTTAAGGTCTTAGTAATTAAAGCAGAAAATCATCTGTAATGTTTTGTTAATAAAATGAGACTGAACTTCAACTATTCGACTTTAGGTCCACTAGTAAACTCCGCACCTTTCCTGTTTACAACCATACTTAATGGAAAAAAAGGTGATGAAATATTCACCTGATTGCAGATAACCCCAACATACTACTTGTATTTACTGAAAACAAGTCGTTTGTTTATCGTCCAGAATGAAATCATAGTTATTTTGTTCCACTATTAAAAGTTGCATTAAAATGTCCGTTTACAGTAAGGTTTGATTCGGATAGGTTCTAGCAAGTTTCGATACAAATACTCTGCTAAATTTACTCTGGGACGGATATTCAGCCAGTACCTTTCCTAAGCCGAATTTAAAAACCATAACTCAGAGCATTCAAATCTCCAGTGGGAATTATATATGGCCAGTTCGATTCCCGACCGAAGCATTCTTGTTTTGTCCCAGTGACTAACGGGCGTACAAGCTCGCCTTTTAAAAGAAAGGTCCTCTCTCTGAACCGCAGCGAGTGGGTGCTGATGAAGAGTCGCGAACTAGGAAGAAAAATTTGTTCAGAACTCTCCGGTTAATTGTCACCCAAGTAGCCTAGTGGATAATGCTGTGCTTCAGCAGTTCAATGGTAAAATGATCGCTAACCACACTCCATATGATCCGGGATTCGATTCCTGGCCAATTCACTCATTAACGTCGCTCAGCTGGTAGTAAACCCCGTAAAGAGTGAAAGTTGGGGATGAGGTTAACAATGGCACCTCTTAAGAAATAAATCCCACGGCTACTGAAACTTCAAAGCTCCAGCTTAAAGCCCTACGTTCCATTCGGAACGCAAAGTAATTAAATAACAAAAACATGAATATTTTATTGTGTTTTAAATCCGATTTCATAAATGCAAAACAGAAAGAGAATACTTTTGTATCCTTTTCTAGGTCTTAATAGGCAATAGAGGTGATTGGTGGACAGTACAAAATGATGCAGGAGAATCTGGTCAGGTGCCAGCATGGAAATTGAAACCGTACAATTATCGACCTGATAATCCACCTGTAGCTGGTTTAAGAAAAACTTCTTCAATGACCAACTTAATGAGTAAAAAATCTACAGAGAATGTCAATGGGAACAATGAAAATGGTCATATAGACAATAATATTAATAATAGTAGTTCTCAACTGCAGGTGAATAGTTCACTGTCTCCAAGATCTCTATCACGTGATAAATCACCACCAAGACAGCAGTTAGACACGACATCTGTCAATATAAATATATGCACATCACCTACAGGACAAAATTTAAACAATGATAAAAGAAATAACAATGACAGCACAGATGCCAATAATAATAATTTTATGTATATAGCTCCATCTCAATTACAAGAAGCAATCAAAATTAATACTAATGTACCAATGTTACTTATCCCAGTAACTAATTTATACAATAATGGTAATCCTGATATGTCGCTAATCAACTGGTCGGCTTTAATGAATCCAAATACGAATGGTGCTGAACTTGCACGAGTTCCTAATCCTGGTGTCCTGGGACCTGGATGGAAACCAGCGCCTATACTAAGTACTTCAGCAAGTAATTTTTTTTCTCGGTTTAAAAATGCTTTAATATCGTTGATTTATCCTACAAACTGTATGACTAACATCGCATGTGTTATCGCTCCTCCGATAACCTTATTTAAATCGTCAGTTGCACTAACTAGGAGGTTGAATTTTTTGATCAGAAGTGTTTCACACAATAGTTGGGAATAGTGGATCGCTTCATTGTTGATTTAACGCTAAAATATTTCAAATAATTAGTTCCCTACATGAGTTTTAACAACAAAAAAATAAGAAGAAGACGTCACTGATCTGAATCGAATATTATTATATTATTATTTTATCCTTTAATTCCTGGAGGAACATAGGGCTTCAGCTGCGCACCTCCATTGCCTTCTGTTTTCTGTCAACTTTTTCACCCCGCTCTAAGTCTACCCACACGCTTTCATCTCCTCCTCGCATGACCTACTCCAAGTCACCCTCACACTGACGACCAACTCGCCGCTTCCCTTTCGGGTTCCACTCGAGCAATGGCTTGTCTAGTGATGTCACTTGATGGTTTCCTCAGCGTATGGCCAATCCATCTCCATTTCTTCCTGCCTATTTGTTTCACAATCGGTTCCTGATTGGTTCGCTCCCAGAGATCCCTGTTGCTGATCTTTTCTGGCCATCTGATCTTGAGTATTGAGCGAAGACAACTGTTGATGAAGGTCTGAAGTTTGTTTGAGATGCTCTTTATGACTCGCCAAGTCTCTGATCCGTATAGTAGCACTGACTTCACATTGGAGTTGAAAATCCGGATCTTATTTTTGATGCTGAGTGCTGTTGACCTCCACACAGATTTGAGAGTAATGAAAGCTTGTCTTGCTTTTCCGATTCTGGCTTTGATATCCTCGTCAGTTTCCGCCTGTAGTTGAGACGATGCTTCCCAGGTAGGTGAAGGAGGTTGTTTCTTTCAGGTTCCTCCCATTTATGCTGATTGTGGTCTGTTGTTGTTGTGCTGTTGATGTTGGCTAGGAATCTTCATCACCTCTGTTTTATCTATGTTCACGTGAAGTCCTATCTTTGATGCTTCTTCTGCCAACTTGTTACTTTTCACTTGCATATCTTCCAGTTTGTGGGAAATCAGACATATATCATCGGCGAAATCCAGATCCTCCAAGTCTTTTGTGTCAGTCCATTTTATGCCTGTTCCCTCGTTGCCGTTGTCTGTCGCATTATCCAATCAATTGCAATCAGGAAGATCATTGGTGATAGTAGACAGCCTTGCCTCACTCCCGTCCTCACTTCGAAGGCTTCCGTAAGTTTCCCGTTGTGGATTACTTGGCATGCAGCATTGTCGTATAACTGTTGGATGAGATGTATAATTGTCGATGGGACCCCGTAGTAGCGAAGTAGTTTCCAAATGACCTCTCGATCGACGCTGTCGAAGGCCTTTTCAAAGTCGATGAAGTTGAGATAGAGAGGTGACTGCCATTCCAAGCTTTGTTCAATGATGATCCGTAGAGTGGCGATTTGATCAATACATGATTTGTTTCTCCTGAATCCAGCCTGTTCCGGACGAAGTTTTTCATCTAGGGCTTGTTTGATTCTCTCCAGGATGATGCGACTTAGTATCTTGCTTGGAATGGACAGAAGCATAATTCCGCACCAGTTTTTACATTGACTTAAGTCTCCTTTCTTTGGAAGTTTGAATAAGTATCCGTTCTTCCAATCCTCGGGTACTTTGCCCTCTTTCCACACCTTCTCCAGTAGTGGTGTCATCAAGTCCGCTGTTGTCTCTGGGTCTATTTTCAAAGCTTCTGCTGGGATTCCATCTGGTCCTGGTGTTTTCCCAGTTTTAAGCATCTTGATTGCATTCAGGACTTCTGATTTCGTCGGGGGGTCAGTGTTCACTGGTAGTTCTGCTTCCGTTGTTGGTATTGTTGGGCGTGTTGTAGGTGGCGGACGATTTAGAAGTCTTTTGAAGTGTTCAGCCCAGTGCTTTCTCTGTTCCACCTCTTTGGTGATTGACTTTCCATTGTCGTCCTTTATTGGCTTAATCTGTGTCGAACGTTTGCCCGAAAGGTTCCTAGTTGTTTGGTAGAGTGTGGCGAGGTCTCCTTTGCCTGCAGCTTGTTCTGCTTCGTTTGCCATGGTTTCATAATATTTTCTTTTGTCTTCCCTGGCACTCTTCTTCACTCTTTTGTTCAGTGTATTGTAGCTTGCATTCAGCTCCTGTTTTTGTTGCTCGTCAGTGCACTGGATAATCTTTTGTTTCACTGTCCTTCTCTCTTCTATTAGTTTCCAAGTGTCCGTAGTGAGCCACTGTTTGTCCTGTCTCTTTTTTCTGCCTAGAATTTCTATGCAGGTTTGGCTCCACACCGTTTTCAAGTTGTTCCAGTGCTTTTCGACGCCGACCTCTTTGCTGGTGTTGATTTGTGTCTCGGCTTTGTCCTTTATGCTTGCAATGAAGATGTCCTTTGTAGCCTGGTCCTTCAGCTTTTGAGTGTTGAACTTGGCTTGTGGTCTATCTGCAGCTCCTCCTTCTCTGAAAGCTTTTAATTTGATTTGGATTGTCCCTTGTACGAGATAGTGGTCTGAGCCAACGTCTGCTCCTCTTCTTGCTTTTGTGTCCAGTAGGCTGCGCCTCCACTTCCTTGAGATTGAGATGAAGTCGATTTGGTTTTTGGTTTGCCCGTCTGGTGACACCCATGTAGCCTTGTGGATATCTTTGTGCTTGTATACACTGCCACCAATCACTAGTTCGTTGAAGGCGCAGAAGTCGGCGAAGAGTTCTCCATTTTCATTCATTTCTCCGAGAGCTTCTCTACCCATGATGAGTTCCCTTCCTGTGTTGTCTGGTCCCAGTTTGGCGTTCATGTCTCCCATTAGTATTTTCATGTCGCCAGCTGGAGTATTGTCCATTGTTGCCTGTAGTTGTCTGTAGAATTCTTCTTTCTCTTCGAGGTCTGCGTTGTTTGTGGGTGCATAACATTGTATGATTGACACTTTCCTTCCTTTGGAGTTGAATCTGGCGGTCATTATCCTGGACGAGACCGCCTCCCATTGCATCAGGGCCTTCGTTGCCGTTGGTGACATCATGATAGCTACACCCTCGGTGTGCGTGTGTATTTGTGCAACACATTTCAAACAATCTAACCACACACGTACTTTTCATGAGAATATGTGTGAAAATATAACAGACGTGGGTCAGGTTTAAAAGTTTTATTGAAAGTCAAAATAACAATGGAGATTAATAAACCAAAAATAAAGGGAGATAATAGTATGAAGGCGAAGTTTACATAGGGAGGTTTGAATTGATCACGAATTGTATTTGAACACAAAGGTGATTTAAACTTCCCAATTGCTTGGGCTTCTACAGACTTTGGGATACACCCCAAACACGCTTTATAGATAGGGTTAGAAGACATGTGAACATCAATTTTATGTCCTGTCTCTATAATATGTTTCGCAATACAATAGCTAGATTGTCTGTTCTCACCAGTAATGGATTCAGGGTATTTGATTTGCTTGCAAACAGTGATTAGTCCTCCTTGCGTATGTGTGGTCAAATGTACATTTAAATTGGTTGATACAGTGGGATGTGACATCAGTTTTCGTAAGTTCTAAGGGCCTCGACAGACATATAGGCTTCATATTCTCAATTACTAGGAACTCAGTTGCGCGGAAAGTCTTTTTACCCAAACCGCTCAATCTTTGTCTACTTAACAAGCTGATAGGATCACCCACGTAGGGTACGTCCTTCTTAGTAGCGGGTTGGAGAATGGATCTTGGTGTTCTGATCACTCTATATCTCCTTATTAACCTCTCTGGATAAATATTATCAACTAGAGTCTGTTTTGGTTTTCCTTCCTAATCTTCAAGTGCATCCTGTGTGCACATTCGTTGAATCCTTCTAAAGATGTACCTCATTAAGGCTTTTTTGAACTGAAAAGGAGAGAAGTTGTGGTAATTAAGATACTGTCCAGTCCATGCAGGTTTTCTACAAAGAGATCATTGGAATATTGCTTAAAGTTATTGACTATGTAATATATCTAGGGAAAATACATTTGTATCTTTCTATTCTACAGACGTGAATGATATGCTGTTTTGTATTTCATTCATTCGATTTAATATTGAAGTGGCAGAACAAGGATTATCACCTATAATAACAATGTCTTCGACACATCTTATTATTATTGTTTCCCTGGGTTCCTAGTGGAACACAAAGCTTCAACTGCACGTCTCCACTTGCCACTTCTGTCTTCCTTCTGCTGTACTTTTCACCTGTATCCATCCATCTTAGTCCATACTGTTTCAACTCCTCTCTCTTCACACCATCTCCTCCATGTCACCCTTGCACCGACGACCCACTCGCCGCTACCCTTTCGGCCTGGTTCCACTCGAGGAATGGCCTGACGCGCGTGCGATGTCACCCAGCGGCCTGCCTCCTCAGCGAGCGAGTGTCCAATCCATCTTCATCCACTTTCTCCTGCATATTTGTTGGTTGGCGATTGCTTCTTGTTTTGTTCTGTTTGTTCCCAGACATAGTTTCTTGTTGGTGATTCTTTCCGGTCCGGCCATCTGATCTTCAGTATAGAGCGAAGACAGTTAGTTGTTGATAAAGGTAACGTCTGCAACAGGCTGTTGGAAATATTCTTTGTGACCCGCCCGTCAAGTTTCTGATCCATATAGAAGAGCTCACTGACTTGATGTTTGTATGGAAGATCGAAATTTTGTTGTTGATGATGAGTGACGAAGATTTCCAGATTGGTTTCAGATTGATGAATGTGTTTCTCGCTCGCCTTCCCGATTCTCGCTCGATTTGACATCCTCCTCGTCCGTCCCGACTTCCTGTAGTTTAGACAATGCTCCCTAGATAAGCGAATGAATGAAGTAACTAACCTCTTTCAAATCCCTCCCGTTGATGGTGATTGGCGCTGGATGTTGCTGTTGTTGTTGTTGGTTGGTTGGTTATTTTCATAACCTCCGTCTTATCTATGTTCACCTGGAGTCCTGTCTTCGCCGGCTGCTTCTTCCACCAGTTTGTCGGTTTTCGCTTGTAAGTCTTCTATTTTGTGTGACATCAAACATAAATCATTCACGCGCGAAATCCAGGTCTTCTAGGTTCTTCACATCGGTCCAGGATATCCCTGTCTTCTCGTTTCCCACTCACCGTCTGACGCATAACCCAGTCCACCACAAACAGGAATATCATTGGTGATAATAAGCACCCTTGTCTGACTCCTGTGTTTACTCCAAACGCCTCGCTGAGTTTTCCGTTGCGGATTCCTTGACACGTGCCGTTGTCGTACAGCTATTGAATAAGGTTGGTGAATATTTGGGGTACACCGTAGTACTCGAGTAGTTTCCAAATTACTTCGCCGTCAACGTTGTCGAAGGCCTTCTCAAAGTCTATAAAGTTGAGGTAGAGGTTTGATTGCCATTCCATGCTTTGTTCGATGATATTCTATTAAGCCGTACATTTTCAATTAAATCTTTCGATAAAATCCCAGTGTACCACATATAAATAACTCTCACACCTTAACGCTTCATATTATGTAAAAGGCTGACTAATGAATAAAAAATATCCGTCTTGATGAGTTCATCATCACCTCCTACATTTATATGACCATAATAATAACCAATCCTACCGCTACAGAAATAACAAAGCACAACAAACATACAAATTACTTCAAAAATTTAGGTATCAATAAACTAAGGTTGGAGAACAGTTTAGTACACTAGACTGTAAGACGCATTTCTTAAGAGTTCAAAAGGCTTATAGATAAATTATTGAATATTAACTAATGGCCCTTGTATTTGTTTCCCTATTTTTTACTCCTGCCCTTTTGTGTGGAACACAAGGTTTCAAGACTTTCCAAGTTTTAATTGGCGGTGTTTGTTGTTATCTATACTAGTTGTGGTAGTTAGACTCACACTCAACCTTCCATCTTATCAATGCTTATTAGTGGACGGTTTACAAGTGCATCGGACAAGAGCACAACTGAGACCAGCTGAGTAGTTGATGAGTATTTAGCTATTGAGGCATGTCCTTATATTCGTCTGCTATTGAATTAAATTCTTGTAAAGCTGTACAAACAAAAAATTGGTAGTTTAATAAGTAGGTATCAGATGTCCACAAAATAGGTAGGAGAGAAAGAAATCTGATACCTCTCCTTCTAGTATTCATGCTTTGCTTGTATTTTTTTATTCCGTGAATAATGCTAGTGAATGTGATTAGCTTATTGAGTCGATATTGTTAGTTATCTTTGTATGTGTGAATCATGGTCTGAATGTAATTAGTAATAATAATAATAATGTTGAATAGTTAAAGAATTATTATTATAAGCAACATTAATGCTGTTTCAAATTACATTGAGTCAATAGTTTCGACAGATTATATTTCAAAAGCATCAGTAAGAGAGGGGCAGATAATATGCATTACTCTAACACTAAACTGATCGAATATCAGATAGATTAAGGAAGGTGACACGTAGAATCTATGAACTCATTCATAGGTTCGACAGCAGCCCAGGGTAGCAATAGTGACTGGCTGGACCTAATTTCTTTTTCACACACACACAGTTCCGGTTGACTTAAGCGAATCGCAATGACCTTTGGTAATTTATTTGATAACCGATAGATGATAGAGAAAAATTCTTCAATTCTAGTTAGTTTTATGACCTGCATGGATGAGGTGATCTGATGGAGAATTACTGATGGTTTTGACAGCGCCTTTATTTAACCACAATGGTAGATATTTGCGAGCACGAAGAATTAGGCTGCTAGAGCAACTGCCAATGTAACTGAGTCCACAGGAACAGTTAAATTACTATATACAGTTAGAGGTCAGTGACTAGTCTAGGTACTTCGTCTTTCAGTTTCAGAATCACAGTCGGCTGATTGCAAAATATAAGCTTTAGCTTACTTGCATTATTATTATTATTGTCCCCTTAGGTTCCTAGTGGAACATAGGGCTTCATCTGCACGTCTCCACTTGCTTCTATCTTCTGTACTTTTAACCTGCATCCATGTTAGTCCATACTCTCTCAACTCCTCTCTCTTCACACCATCTCCTCTATGTCACCCTTGCACTGATGTCCCACTCGCCACTACCCTTTCGGCCTGGTTCCACTCAACCAATGGCCTGACACGCGCGTGATGTCACCCAGCGGCCTCTCAGAGAGCGAGTGTCCAATCCATCTTCATCCACTTTCTCTTGAATATTTCTTGGTTGGCGATTGCTTTTTGTTTTGTTCTGTTTGTTCCCAGACATAGTTTCTTGTTGGTGATTCTTTCCGACCCGGCCATCTGATCTTCAGTATAGAGCATTAAATGTTCTTTATATCGATTTCCTCAACTTTTTGGTTATTATTTCACTACGTATATTACCTTTTATTTTGAAATCGTATATATAGAGGCTTCCTTATTCTCGTATATGTTTCTATGACAAGTACGTGTGTGATCAGATTGTTTGAAATGTATTGCGCAAAATACACTACACGATTCAGATAAATGACGTCTTCTTCTTATTGTTTTGTCGTTATGCTAAGATATTTGGAACTCATATTTTCTCGTAACTGTTATAAATCAGCTGTAAGATAATGTAAAGATTTAAAACTGAGTAAGCAGACCATGATTAATGGACGCTTACTTTACCCCTATTCACTACTCACCAATCTAGAGTGATTACAGGCCAGTCAATGTGGGCAACAATACGAGCTATATCAGTGATAATAATGTTTTAGACACATTGGATATGGTGGATCGTTTGCTTTCATTAAAAACAGTTTTAAAGCAATTTGGTGAGAGGTGACTAGCAGTGGAATCTAAGATGCGTATTTCGTCCTATTTTGGACTCGTCATCCGGGTAGATGTACCTTTGTCCCCCAGTGAGTAATGGTGTTCCCACTGAGACTCGGACCCAATATCCACTGGGGAATGCAGGTACATCCAGACGAAGAGTCCCAAACAGGACGAAATATGAATCCTGGATTCCATGGTGCTAGTCACCATCCACTAAATTACTTCAAGTTAATCCTCAGATATCTTTGAAGCATCCACACTAGCAGCCGACGTGTCAGATGTGGCGGAAAATTTCCGTTCAACTAATCAACAGGAAAATCGAAATTGAATTAAAAGTTTTAAAGCATACCTGACTTCTGTATAATAAGTGTAGCTCAGCATTTCAAAATATGAACCGACTCATGACTCATACGTTGAATTTATCCTTTGAGAACACAATATTTGGAGAAGAGACATTTTTCAATAAAATTATTATGAGGTTGTACAGTTGTATTCATGTGATTTTTATGAAACTATACCTGGCGAAGAAATTTAAACAGAGGCGTGAATACTTGAAATTATAATGTGAAATGCAATAAAGGTGCCTGTGATTATAACCATAGTTCAATGTAAAAAAAAATGACAAAATAAATGATATGGTAATAAAATACTTCATTGAATGTTGTGTGGATCTCAAAAATCGACATAAAATTAATAGAATTAGTAAACAAATAAAACAAACATCACGTAGAATGTTGAGAAGTTTGATACGATGAATTTGAACATTGAAATAAATATAACTGTCATTATTGCCTTGGGTTCCGAGTGGAACATATGGCACTTCTACATATAACAAATCTCATTTCTATTTTCTGCTGTCCTCTTCAGCTGAATCCACAACTGCCCATAATCTCTCATCTCGACCACGCACTATCTTCTCTAGGGCACTTTAGGATGATCCACTTATCGCTTTCCAATGGCAGATTTGAAGTAATAACATCGGGAAGTGCTCAAAGTGACGACGAAAATAATAATAATAAGAGTAAATGTAATGGTGATGTGTACATAGACTTGATAAACAAAAGGACAAATAAATAAATGTTTATCCATCCTTTCTACTCCACAGTGAAGGTATATAAATACGGATTGTACACAATTCTTTTGTACAGAAAGGAAAGGAATGGTGAATGTCGTCGCTGTCTTTAGAAGTTTGAAACGAAGATATGGCAGTGAGTTAGCATGAATTCGATAGATGATCTTGAAATAGTGGCTCGGGTTGGTTGATTGATTAACTGTCTTTGTTTGCCTTGCATTAACTCCCAAATGAAATCATTTTAACATAAATGTATCTGTTCTTTTTCTCATTTATTTCCTTTCATATGAAAATCTCGATTCAATCATCACCATCATCATCAACCTCGTTAAAATGAAGCGGAAGGTTAGTTAATAAATACGATGTAACAATTATTCACTTAGGAAAATAAACAATTTTAGTGTAGTATTTGAATTATTATTATTATTATTAATATGCAGTGAATTTTTTTCTAAATTTATAAACTACCTTACGAGGAACAATTTTGCATTTCTTTCGTAACGAGTAAACAAATGTTTCTGCTGTGTCAATATTCTTCTTCTCACCTCTTATGGTTTATAAGATAAAATGTAGTAGTATAATTATAGTTTAGATGAAACTCTAGTCGTACTTACTTTGCGTGAAACTTTCTTTGTTTCCTTAGTGCATTTCGTTTACATGTCAAGCAGAAAAAGTTCCCCCTCCCGCCTCCTTTGATACATAGGATATAGGCATATTATTGGCGTTCTGTTAATTTCCTGTCAGTTACTGGCTGTGTCCTATGTTATCATTTTTATTCTCTTGGCTGCTGAGTGGAATGCAGGGCTTCAGCGGCACATCTCTTTTTCGTCTCGTTCTCTGCAGCCCCCTCTAGCTGGCTCCAATATTTCTCAAAGTCTCTTATCTCCTCCTGACATTATCTCCTCTATATCACCCAGGAACACACACCCAATTCATCATTTGCTATTCGGGTACCACTTGAGCGATAGCTGGCGTGTGATGTCACCCTACGGTCTCCTCAAAGTGCATTCGATCCATCTTCATTTTCTTAGGAGTATTTGTTGAGTAACTGGTTCTTGATTAGTTCATTTACAGAGTTTCTTGTTACTAATCCTCTCTGACCCGCCATCTGATCTTCACTATGGAGATGGCGAAGATGGTAGATGTTGATAAAAGTCTGAAATCACCTTTTCGAAATGTTTTCATGACGAATGAGTCCAGTTTCTAACCCATATAGAAGAGCTGAATAACTTGACATTGATGTTGAATATCCGAATTTTGCTATTTATGCTGAGTGAAGTGCAAAGATTTCTATTATGTACTCGTCGCCAAATTATTGTTATATACTGGTCGAAAATTTAATAGTTCTGACGCAAGAAAGACAGAAATCAGAAGACCACTAGGTTTGCGATGATACTTCTATTTTCCAAAACACCAGGAGAATCACTATGTCACACAAGAGTGTGAGAGCAAATATATAAGAATGTCCGGACAAGTGTGTGAGCGAATATTCAAAGTGAACAAATCAATAAGCAGTCTTAACATGATTGGCTAATTATAATGGAATATCGATCCATATATACATAGCAAATATACAGACTGTCAAACAAACACACATATTATATATATATATATATCAATTTCCCAAGCGATTTCAGAGTTATGAATGTCTGCCTTGCCTTCCTGATTCTGCCTGGTTTTGAAATCCACATCCGTGGCATCGCTTGTAGTTGAAACTAAGATGCCTGTAGTTTTGGAAAATACCAGAAGAGGACAAATGAAATCATGGCAGCATTATGCATGTCCTGAACACATTTTTATTAACTAACTTTCATTTTCAAATTCCTTTTTATTTCTTTTTCAAGGAAATGTACTTATTTATTGTAATTATCATTAATTAATCTTCTTGATGAATCAGATTTCGTTCTATTTTTTAACCTGACGTTTTTCTATTCCACTTAAGTGTGGTGAACTGTAGTGAAGCATTCCCATTTCATTGTTTCTTCAACTCTATTTTCTAGACGTTGACGACCTGCTTAAATCTTGGTCTGCCAAAAACTTCCATCTCTCTATTGCACATATTTTCTCTCGTTCGGTTTGTTTTAATCGATTAAGATATAACCTCCAATAGTAATATCTACTCTTGTGTGTGTATTTAAAATGTTTACGAGCTTCTAATTCACAAGTACCTACTAAACTTGATGAAAGGCCTAATTGTGGGTGGTAACGGGTTCTCAAATAGATGAGATAACTGTTCTTAAGTTATGTCCTTGGTTGTCATAATGTACTTCTGAACATCTTACAATTGGCTTTCAACCAGATATCTTGGATTTCTTGAAGCAGAGACAAAGCAGGTATATCATAATGGAATGAGTAGTGCTTCAGCTCAGAGACCATTGTGTCACAGGATACACTGTCAATCAATATTTTACTTGAAGATATTGTACGAAGGGAAAATATGATGCAATAAACTCCACTGAAAATCCTGTACATCTTATAAATATTGTCCAGAATAAAGATGTTATTATAATTATCATTAAAGGCGATAAATTATTCATCATGATCATTGTAATGTTAGTTCCAGTTGTAGGATATAAACGTGATTTGAATTAAGTGTCTATGGTTTGTGTTCAGTGGATGACTGGAACAGTTTTCCTTCAGTTTCAATCAGTCTAATGATAAAACGATATAAAATCTGATCAACTATGTTTAATAAACTGACCAAGTTTGTCACCAGCTTGAATACGATAAATGTAACGTCACAACAAGCTAAACTGTTTGATTTATTTAAGAGTAGAATTAGGGCACTATGGTAGAATATAATAATCCCGTACTAGATAAGTTCTGTTGTTATAACACGCAATGATACAGTATTATAAACTGGATGACGTTTCTAGCACAATTTATTAGTCATAAGCATATGACATGATTGGTGTGATTATGAGTGGTAAATTGTGCTCGAAATGTTATCCAGTCTATAATGCTGTATGTCTCACTGTATGTTGCGTTAGATAAACTCACCTTATAAGGAATTAAACTGCTTGATTCTCAGAAAAGTAACTATCGAATTACTTGTGTTCTTTGAGGTGGGTGATTTAATTGCTAACCGTTCGTGGCCCACTTTCTAGATAGCATCTTCAGCACAGGTTTTAGTATAAAACCAATTCGCTTAAATTCTCCACGAATGATGTAAGTGTACCTCCTGACGACCACCCTCTTGACTGGTTGTTAATATGTATCTCTATTGATACACTTGAGTATCAGGCCAGGTATTCAAGTGAATTAGCAACATGATAAAAAGGCTCGAATTCCAAGTCAACAAAAATGATCGGTAGAGACGTAAATTAACAACCAGTCACGACAGACTTTGCCAGGAGATACAATTACATCATTCATAGAAAATTTAAATGAGTTCATTTTATACCAAAATCTGAGCTGAAGATGTTGTCCAGAAGGACGAGAAAAGCTTCTCAGTTAAGTCGACCAGCTTAGAGAACACAACTAATTTAGTACCACCCACCTTAGCTACAAATCTATTATAAAAGTAACAATCCCTAGAAAAAGAACTGCTCTCAGCCTTAGAGAAGGAATTAGTTTGCAAACTGTAGTGGATTGCAATACTTCTTTAGGTCGATATATATTTGTGCTGAAGTAGATAAATTATGAAGGAGTGGATCTTCTCGCTAAAGCGATAAACAGCATAAGCAGAAAACCATAAGTCTCATGATTCACTGTACCACAAGATATTTTACTGTTAAGCAGAAGTTCACGGATCACTAACCAGAAAATTATTCTCAGGTTTACGAAAACTATCACCATGATAAAAACCAACCTTTTACTGGTCGAGTAATTAATAGTCCTGACGCAAGAAGGCGGAAATCAGAAAAACCACCAGGTTCACGATGATACTTATATTTTTCAAACAACGAAAATCAATGTCACACAAGTGTATGAGCGAATGTTCAAAAATGAACGAATCAATAGACAGCCTTAACATGATTGGTTGTAATGTCATGTGATAACAAGGTCATACATATTTATTTAGTTAGTGGACAGACAAAAGCATATTGTCAGCTATAATGGAATATCGATCCACATACACAGCAAAATATAATTGACTGTCAACAACAAAACACACACATCATGTGGATACATATCACCTCCCCTTTTGAGAAGATTGAGGATTAGTAGCGTGTTTTCTTGGGGGTTTATCTGGAACCGTTGAGCTTGTTGTTGACGTCTGTCCTCGAAACGTGATCATCAGTTGATATTACTGTATAACACCACCACTGTGTGATTTATCAAAATAAAATCTTATCTATAATGGAGGTATACTCTATCTACCACAGTGCCCCAAACTTTATACTTACAACATTTTACTGAAGATCAGATGGCTAACCAGAAAGTCTTAGAAACAAGAAACTTTGTGAACGAACCAGTTAAGAACCCGTCACTCAACGAATACTCTGAATAAGACGAAGATGGATCGTATACATACTAAGGAGACTTTTTAGTGATATCGCGAGCGAGGCTGTCATTCGAATGGAATCCCAGTTGGGAAACAATGAATAGGGCATATGCCCGAGGGTGACATGGAGTAGGCCGTGTGAAGAGAAGATGACAGCTTATAAGTAATCGTGTAGTTGGCTGAAGAGGACAGCAGGAAAGAGGAAAAAATGGAGACGTGCTTTTGAAGCCCTATATTCTAGTTGGAACCCAAGGGAATAATCATAATGTATGATCTTCAACCTGGTGACCTCAGCTGAAATTGTGTGACGAATCGTTACCAAGCAAACCAGTGACTTGAAAAATTCAAGAGGAAGGCGTTTCTTAACAATTTTCATATTTTAATTCCCTTTAATGAATTTAAGCGAAGCAATAACAACACCGCCTCAATCATTCAAGTTACTGAATCACTTGGGGACGATATGTTGCGGGATTGTCGGAGAAGTAACTGGTTTGAATAACGGGATTAGTTTTATCCTGTCTCATGTGCTATTATCGTTTTATTCAAAGAATAAACAAATCAATACGATTTTCACCACTACATTCACATTCATCTATGCATGGATTTTTCCAAGTAAACACAGTGAATCGCTCGTTATCCTATTAACATCCTTGAGTACTTAAATTTTTGGGAGATTCTAATAATTCAGAAGATAGGTCCTTATCTGTCAGTTACATGATATCCAGTTTGTGCATAAGCTCCAGAGTAAACATGACGGCATAATATACTTATCTTTGTGTTTGAATAACTATTAAGAGCATAATTTAACGATACTCGAATTTTCCGCAAACATAATGACGAATTTTTCAACTTGATATTTAAGACAGCTGGAAGTCTCAACAAAGCTGGTCTTCTCCTGATGTATTATCTCTCTCCGACGCGGTTTTGAACTCAGCAGCTGTTTCAAGAATATGTATATCTCTTACTCTCTTTCGAACTGGTGTTTCTTCCTTCTCTTAAGTTAACTCTATCAGAAGTAACTTTTAGGGGCCAATTAAGGCTTATAAAACTATTTTATTTTTACTATTGTTCTATTACGATTCTAAGTGTTATGTTCTCCTTCCTGTGAAATAAAAGTCAGATAGCTAGCTGTCATATGGAGTTTTATGCCTATTCGGATGGCTAACTCTACTGTAGTGCAACCTACCACTTACGCATGCCCAGTATATGCTGACTACATAGTATTATTATTCCTATAAGTTCTAAGTGGAACATAGGGCTTCAAGAGAATATCTCCATTTTGGCCTGTTCTTTGCAATCCTCTTTAGCCGCCTTTACGTTTGCCCCTAGTCTCTCATCTCTTCTCAACACGTTCTCCTCAATGTCACAGTCGAACCACTGCCCAACTTGCCGTTTTCCATTCGGATTCCATTCGAAAAATAGCCTGCATCACACGAGGTGCCACTCATTGGTCCCCATAGTGTGTGACCAACCCATCTCTATTTTCTTTAGAATACTTGTCGAGTGATACGTTCTTGACTGACTCGTTCCCAGAGTTTCTCGTTTCTAATTCTTTATGACTGGCCATCTAATCTGTAGGATGAGGCCAACGACGGTAGAGACTGTTGGGAACACTTTCCGTGATGTGTACGCTTGACTTAACATTGATGATGCATATCCTCTCAGTTATTTTATTTGGATTAGTGATTTCTACCAGCCGGCAGTGAATATAAGTAGAGTTTCAATCTTCAGCGTTGAAGTTTCGGGAGCAATGGTGTTTATTCTTACAGAATGGGATTGCTAGCCTCATGCCCGACCTTCTCTCTTTACCAATCTTATTACCAACTTAGCGAGGTAAATGAGTGCGTCAGCTGTTGGAGATCGAACCCCGAACCACATAACGCGTGGTTCCGGAGCATCCTACGGCTACGCCACATATGCACACAAATAAGCCTTTGCTTAAATAAAAATTGTTAAATATTACGCTTTCTGAGTATAACTTTCTATTCACTAATCTATCACACTGTCTGTTATTTCATTCACTACATTGTGTTATACATATATCAATGCATGTTTATTTGTATCAGCTTTGGGATACTCTCCATATCCTTTCAATTATCGTAAGTTCAATATATTTATCTGAAATTAAATTCACTTTTATTATTGTCACTTTTATTTCAGGGTCATACAGTTTAATAATTATTTCCTTTTTGAAATTAATCTAACCCAATTGTCAAAGTGTACGCCTTCACTTCTAACTATATACAGAAACTAAAAATGCATCACTTTCACTGCTAATAATTCATATCAGCTTAAAATCATACTGTTTGTTTCTATAAAAAAATTGTTATCGGATTAATTAATATTTCATGGGGTTGAACTTGAATTCACTTTTATGCTTTCCTCTAATACTTTATTTAATCTTAAGAGAATTATGAATGCTTGGAGTATGAATAATCAAAGTTAATCATCTTCAATAGTTGGTTTGTAAGGATCAGATTTGTTTTTACGAGTTGATCACAGATCGTCATCAGTTAGAGAACCGTTAAAAACCAGCAGGGAGTACTGAACAACTGTTTCGTCAGCTTAGCTTGGGACTCTTAGTCAGTATGCCCCCACCTGTTGCGTTCGAACCTAAGAATCTCTGGTTACAAGGTGAGCTGGCTCGTCTGTCTGTCTGTCTGGATTCAACATAGAACTTGGCACCGAAGTGCAGCAGTTCGAGTTGCCACGTTCCAAATAGCACACAGAGGTAGACAAGAAGATGAGTGGAGAGAATTAATAGAGTTTGACAAATATAGGAGTGAAACAGAATGGGTAATGGTAGAAAGGAATATGAAAGATTACAGAGATTGAATACATCTGCGCCATTGACAACGATTTTGAGCCATGTCACCTATTGTCTCCAGCCATTGATTCCTAGAGTCCCGAGGGCCCCAACCCGGGAGTCTGCATCTCCCTACCTGACTCAGTTTAACTGTCAAGGATTTCATGGATTGATGCCATGTTTTTGTTTGGCCACCACTGGCTCTTTTCCAACCTGAACCTATATCAGCTAACAATGCCCGTCGGGGGAGGCGGTGGTTAGGCATGCGCACCACGTGACCTAGCCATCTTAGTCTATGTAACTTTATAACCTCGTCGATTGATTTTCCCTCTTTGCCCAACACTCTACGCCTAACGTCAACATTACTTATCTTGTGAAACCACCTAACGTGAGACAGAGATCGCAGACATCTATGATCGAAAGCAGTCAACCTTTTCATGTCTTCAACGCGTATTGGCCATGTTTCAGAGCCATAGAGAAGGACGGAGCGAACTGATGAGCAGTACACACGTCCCTTGGTTGATAACCGGATGTCACGCCTACGCCAGAGATGGTGTAAGTCAGCGAAAGCAGCTCGAGCTTTTCGGATCCGTGCTGAGATTTCATCGCCAATCAGTCCGTTGGTGCTAATACAACTTCCCAAGTAGGTGAAGTGGTCAACATGTTCTATCACTTCACTCCCTATCACTAAGTTAGGGGTTGACGTCGTCCAGTCCTGTAGCAGCATCTTACATTTTGCAGGGGCGAATCGCATGCCAAACATACGAAGATTGCTGCTCAAGGTGTTCAGAAGACTCTGCATTTTGTCAGCATCCTCCCCTAACAGGACTATGTCATCTGCATATTCTAAGTCCATTAGATTATTCCCTGGTAACAAGTCGATTCCTAAGTCACTACGTTCAGTTAAGGATACTTCCATTAGCATATCTATGATGAAGTTAAACAGAAATGGGGAAAGTGGACATCCCTGTCGGACACCACTGGTTGTTACTAATTCAGATGACAATTCCCCATAAGCCCTTACACGACTACGTGAGTTTGAATAGAGTGCCTTGATTAGTGCAATGTACTTTCTTGGCACTCCCTTCACAGTCAGACATTGCCATAGTACTTTTCGGTCCACGGAGTCGAAGGCCGCCTTCAAGTCAAGAAATATGACAATTGTTGGACGCCGAAAAGTGTGTCTATGTTCTAGAATCTGTCGAAGAGTGAAGATATGATCTATGCACCCTCTACCTGGTCTAAAGCCTGCTTGATTTTCCCTTGTCTGTTCCTCCCGAGTTCTGCTTAGTCTATGCATGATTACTGAGCCTAGGATTTTAGAGACTATGTTCGTTAGGCTGATCCCCCTATGATTATCACACGAGGACTTGTTTCCCTTCTTGAATATCGGTATAATGAGTGACTTACCCCAGTCTGATGGTACTGTCTCTGATTCCCAGACTTTGCCTAGTACCTCAGTTAATCTACAAACTAGTATGTCACCCCCATATTTAAACACCTCCGGCTCGTAGACTATTAAGCCACTGGGACCCGATCCAATGACCAGTCCATGAATTCTAATTCCTGCCAACTCATGACATCGAAGAAGACATTGCGAAATGGTCGCGCTGTATCATGAACTGGCAAAAGTTATAATTCATGTTCTGGCCTATTGGGTCGGGACTCATTGAGTCTTGTCTGTCCAATTCTGGTTTTGTCCTTCTCATCCGTGCTGTCGCCTGTGGTTGGAATCATGCTGCCTAGATAAGTGGAGAAACTCACCTCTTTCAAATTTATCCCACTGATAGTGATTGTTGCTTGTTGTTTGGTTGGTTGCCTTCGTCACCTCTGCCTTCTCTCTAAATCACAAACTGGTAGAAGTTAGAATTCATGGGCTAGCCATTGAGTCGGGTCTCAGAGGCTGAATGGTATACGAGCTTGTCTTGTAATCAGAAAGTGCTGGATTCGATCCCCATGTAGTAAGTGGGTGAGTACTGTTGTCGATTTCCAAACTAGGATGAAACAGCTGTCCAGTACTCCCTGTGGCTGGTTTTCAATGGTTCTCTAACTGATAACAATCCATGATCAATTGGTAAAAACAAAGCTAATCAATCAAATTTCATCTTATATAATGAATGAATAGATCAGTAATAGACTAACAGACTAGACTAATAGAAGTGGTAGCTGTTTTAAAATTAACAGAGTACTAAATGGCAAGACTGTTTCAACTGATTATGAGCTAGAAATCTACACATATATGTACTTTGTGATAAATAAACTTGTCTTTCTCGGTCTTGTTATTGTTATAACGAGGTATCACTGATTTTGTGATTGTCCTCTAACTTGAGTAGAATGCCCTCCAGTCATGACAGTATAACTAAATGAATGAACATGGAAATATTTCCTCACACTGAGATAGATACAGAAGTCAGATTTCACCGCTATAATGTCTTAATATTCAAAATATTATTATTGTTCCCTTGGATATAAGACTTCAGCAGAACATCTTCGCTTTGTCCTGTTCTCTGGGGTCCAATACAGCCGGCTCCACGATTTTTCATAGTCTCTAATTTCCTCTATATCACACTCGATATTACTCACTGGTCGACGTTTCCCATTGAGGTTCCACTTGGGTGATAGCCTCGAGTGTGATGTCATCTGACAGTCTCCTCAGCGTGTGTGTGCGTCCCTGATCTATCTCCCTTATCTTTGGAATATTTGTTGACACATATAGGCTCTTGATTAGTTCTTTCCCAAAGTTTCTTATTGCCAACCCTTTCTGATCAGCCATCTCATCTTCAGCATGGGGTCAGCAAAGATAGCAGCTGTTGTTGATACAAGTCTGAATCCACCTGTTAGAAATGCTTTCCGTGAAGCACTAATCGAGTTTTTGACCTATAATAGAAGAAGTGAGTGATCACCTTAACATTGGCGTTGAATATCCGAATTTTGTTGCTTATGCTGAATAAAATGTAGAAGATTTCCCAACCGATTTCAGAGCGATAAAAGTCTGTCTAGCGTTTCCAATTCTGGTTTTGTCTTATGGTTGTAATGATGCTGTCTAGATAAGAGAAGGAACTGACTTCTTTTAAGATTTATTCCGTTGATAGTGATTGTTGCTTGTTGTTGATCGGTTATCTTCATCACCACTGTCTTCTCTATGTTCACTGGAAGTTCTGTTTTCCCTGTCAACTTCTTGGTTTCACTCAACCTCCTATTACATACTTGGAAACATAGCCGTAGAGAGATTTTGAACATTTTTCAAAAAAAGAAAAAAAAGAAACTACAAGAGTATATATATTCTTACTATTCTCTAATGACATATAATCCCCAAGGTGAAAGCTTGTTTTTTTCCGAAGCTTTACATAAACCAACACCATATTCTACGAAAATTACTAAATTTTTAATGACGCATCACTTGTACTGTAACTTTAAAAATAATTTAACATTGAAAACTGACCTTTTATATGTTCCTTGGCATATTTTTTGTTCACTGAAGACATCTGTATGAATGAAGACCACCCTATTGGTGACAAGTTTCTCCTAACTAAACGTATAATACGTCAAATTATATGTGGTCTAGTCACTACGCTTTTATAAAGATAACATACAAATAATAAATCACGTTTTTGTTCTCATTTTATTGTTGATGAATACGCACGCTAATTAACAAGGCGTCTTATAAACTCGTAAGATTTAGATATGATAGAGAAGATTTGTAGCTCAGGTGGATGATTTTGATGTGGTTTTGTTCTCTGAGCTGGATGGTTAGTTTGCGAAGCTTTCATCACCTTACTGGGTGACATCTTCAGCGCATACTTCAATTTGAAGTGAGCTTTTAGATTTCTCCACGAGTTTATTAATCATCTCTCCTGGTGACCTTGGACGTGATTGGTTGTTTGTGTGTGTTTTCACACCTTCTAGGCTACTTGTATTGGAACTGATTGTTTCTTTGACTTGAACTTTGACCCTTTGTGTGTGAAGTTTCTTTCTTATTGGTTGATAAATTTTGTCTATCTCGATGTGTCTATTGATTGATGATTCACTGGAATGCCAAGCTTCAAATTGAAGTATGCGCTGAAGATGTCAGCCAGTAAGGTGATGAAAGCTTCGCAAACTAACCATCCAGCTCAGAGAACAAAACCACATCAAAGTCTTATAAACGTTTAGTTTTTTTTCGTGCAACTACGTATCAATTAGTACACTAACTAATATACACGAGTCGACAGATAAGTGAATATAACCTTACACTAAACACACTTAACCATAGAGAATAAAAAAAACATGGAAAGCGGTATATTACAGTTCCCA